TTGAAATGTATCCAGAGCACACTGGAGACAGCCGGGGTAAGAAACAAACGGGGTAAGAAACAAACGAACGAACCTCATCAGAGCTGGCACTTTCCCTCCAGGTATTGCAGAGCGCCCCAGAGGCTCCTGCAGAGAAGGAGGAATTTGGACCCACTGAAAAGCAAGCCTTCCTTCTCTCTCTGTGTGACTTCCTTGGCCATGTCTTTCGTTGCTCTCAGTACCTTACAGAACGTGGGCCACTTCGTTGGAATTCACTCATGGCTCTGGCCGAGAGAGGCTTCCTGCAGTCACTGTTAGAACACAGAGCTGAGCCAATCAGGCCCTTTCACATTGTAGGTGCTCTGGCACGTCCACATTGCTTTCAGAAATCATGCAGGAAGAGAAAATCAAAAGTGGCTCTGGAAGGCAGCTTCGTAAGAGACACATAGCTGCCCGATGCTCCTGGAAGCCAGCAGTGACTGAACTGAGCCATCTTTGCTAAGCAGGCCCTGCTCGAGGGCATCCTCTGATGAGGTCTCGTCACAGGGCTTTGCTTGAACAGAGGCCTTTGTTCTCGGGACTTGGATCCATGACAGTATGGATAAGTAGCTGCTTTTCAAAACTTCTACAAAGATGACGGCTATAGGCAAATACAAGGAGGCTTCAAAAAGTTCATGGAAAATGGACTTCAAAAGTGTGGATTGTTTTTCTCATAGACTTTTCCTAGCGCCCTCATAAATGCAATGGTACATTTGAAGTGAAACCATAAACTTCCTAAAATATAATTCTTTGGCAGCAGTATATATCAGGTTTTCAAAGTACCATATAGCCAGCCATGATCAACATTTCTTAAAAGATTAGACACTAGAAAATACTAGTACATTGTACAAAGTACAGGGGTTGAGACTGTAAAACTTGTGAGTCAGTTATACAATCGTGTGCCCTATAATATCTTTTGGGCAACATCCAATCACATATAAGTCCATGGTCCCAGTCCCTATGTACCTATTGTATTAAAATCTTAGGTACATGCAGTGGTTCATAGTAACAGTGGCTCAGCTCTATTATTATGTGATATGCATAAAAGCATTGTTATTATTAATGCATTATTCTAAATATATTCTAGTATATCTGAAGTGTTTCTTTTAATTTTTTTATGCACAGAAAGGTACACTACAAGGTTTACTGTATACTAAGACAAATATCTGTCATTAGATATGAACTATATCTAAATATTTCATTGTCCCATAAAAATTTGACTTGAAAGAGACTTGGGAAAAGAACCATTCATAATCCTGGGACTCCCTTTATGTCACTCGGTGTTCAGAATAATGCCAAATCACAGGGCATTCTTATTCACAATGCATTGTGGAGGGTAAGCCGCATGTGCTATGCGTGTCTTGGGTTGTGATGTACAAATGTATTACTTACTTCAGAGATGTAAGAGCCCCCAATAAAATGATTTTTTAAAAAATATTACTTACTATAGGCCTTAATGAAAAATGTTGGGAAAACATGAATGTTTAGATGATTTTAGTTGATACAGACTTCTTTGTATTACTCGCCTGTGCTTAGGAGATGTCACTCCAACACCAGACTTAGTGAAATTGTTCATCATTTTGAACAAGTTACTATGTATTTAATTAAAACTGGTGATATTCAGGAATTACGAAACAGGAAGAACATGTGTTCTAATCCTACATAATGTCCTTAACTCTCTGAAGCGGAGCGCCTTCAAACTACTTAGACTACTTCACACCTCTCACTGGAGAATCCCTCTTAGTAGGAAAGAACCTGATGTTTCCGATCTGCTGTCTCTTATGACTGGGGGTGGGGTGGGGTGAGGAATGGCCACCCCTGCTAAGGCATTAGTGAAGGGACTTTTATAACTGCCTATCTTTATAGTTAACTTTACTGCTGAATTTCACCCTTGCAACAGGCAAAACTGGATGGTGGGAGACAACAATGGAGACCCATCCTCATGGCCGTGACGGAGAAGGATTTGCTGCTCTATGACTGCATGCCGTGGACAAGGGATGCCTGGGCTTCCCCGTGTCACAGCTACCCACTTGTCGCTACAAGGTACAGCTAAGCTCAGAAAGATGACGTATTCTGGTCTGCCTCTACTAAAGACTTTGAAAGTGAATCCTATTATCTCCGGTTCCCAAAATTGCCTTTAAATAACTCATGTGGTACATTTAGACCAAAAAAACAGCCCTTTCACCACCATATTGACCTCCCTGAAGCTCCTCGCTCAGAATAAATTGTCTGCCAATAGCATTTTGTGTGTATTTTTCAGTGGTTGGAGCTGCTCCCTCCAAGGCTTGCTTAGTCAGGAAGATAAGTATTTCAGGGTTTTTTTCCCCCCTTTAATTTGTTGACAGTGACTAGAAAGCCACTGACGTTGTGGCAGCCTTTGGACTGAGTGACGACAGGCACTACACCAGAATGCGGCACGGTAGATAAACCACAACTCTCAGCCAGAACGCTCGCCAACTTCTCTTTCTAGTGGAAGGGCACATGATTTTGATTCCACCAAATAAACATTCATTAGACCTGAAACCACAGGGTGCTCCTCACATGCCAGATGTGGAGTCTTGGAAGGGGAACGAACAGGAAACCTTGACTTGAAGGCCAAGGTGTCCTTAAGGGATAGTAGCTGTGAAGCTAGAATCCCTACTCGCATTCATTCCATTTGATTTGAGTTGGAAGAATAATCCGGTGCTGATGTGACTCAAAAGCTGGGACATTTAAAGCAAGGCCCCCGGAAAAGTATCTGGCAACCGAAAGAGCAAAGGGACGGAACCATCTGGTGTGTCCTGTGGGGAACATTGTGGGAGTAGCCTGCTCTGAGCAGAAAAAGCTTCTGCGTGGAAGAAAGACTGCATGAGGGGGAGACCTTTGCTTTATTTGGACTATCCTTTACCTTATCAAGTGCCCTGGCCTGTATTAATCTGTGCCTAAAAAAATGTGAGCTCTCTACTGCATGCATCCTATTTCATTAGCACTTGTAGCTAAAACAAATGAAACCAGCAGGGTTGCCTCGAAGGCACTGAGAACGCTTCATGGTAGAGTTTGAGTCCCTGTCCCATCAGGTAGTTCCTTGGGAGTGGGGTGGGGTGGGGGGTGCTGCTTACCCTCTCTGTCTGCCACGGTTTTATCCTTTGTTAGCTGGACCCGAAGGAGAGGGCTGGGTGTGAGCTTGTAAAGAGTTAATACTTAGAAAGTGACTCCAATGGTGCCTTACACTTTCTAGTTTCTTGGTTAAGTGTGAGCTGCTTGAATTCTAATGAAAATGGTTTTCAATGAGTATGTCAAAGGGGAATTCTGTTTTAAAAGTTTCAGTGGTCTGCTCTGGCCGTTGTCAAAAGAGGGGTTCTGGGGCTCCTTGTCTGTTGTCGCAGTAGTTCCATGTTAAATATGGGGCGCGCAGATGTACCCTTCCTGTCGTGTGCATTGAACTGGGCGTTAATTGCATGGGTGTGCCTGTCATTCTCTGAATATTGTGGCCCTTAATAAGTTTAATTAATGCCTCGGCAGGATTCTCTGCTCCTTGCTCAAGAAGTGCTGGAGGATAAGGGGCAAATGTGACAGGCAGATGTGAGGTGTGGCTTTGCTGTTGGCCAGGTGGAATTGGTTTTAAGTCACTCCGTGCTAGAATTGGAGGGGGCCCGACCCTCCTGTGCCAGACAGAGGGTGTGGACTGTGGTCACTGAGGGGAGGACCAGACCAGGAGATTACCCACAGAGGGAGGCCAGTGTGTGTGTGGGAAACAGTTTGAGACGGGTGTGAGTAAAGAGAAAAGGCTGAATGTTCACTTTCCCTGACTGTTTGTAATGCTTTGCAACGTGTTCTCATGAGGGCTGGGGCTGGGAGAAAAGACAGGGGAAGGGAAAGAAATGAAGGACCATGGTTATCCACAAAAGGAGATCCTCCACACCAAGCCCAATCTGCTGCAGAGCGCCCTACAGGAGCTGACTGCCACATCTTTATTGTGTTGTGTGTGTGTGTGTGTGTGTGTGTGTGTGTGTGTGTGTGTGTGTACATGCTGTCTGTTCAGACTGCCAACATGTTGTTCAGCCATCTAGTGCTTCAACCACTGCATAACCAGGCCCCCTCAAAAGGAAATCCTCACAAATTAAGAAATCACTGTAATTGTAAATTACAGCACATTTTTAGGGTGATGTGAATTAACATAAGCTCCCATTTACACTGGATTCCATGTTTACGGGTTCTCAGGAACAAAATCTTTCTCTGTGTGTATGTGTGTTTTGCTTATAGCTCATATTTCAGAGAGCTCTGGTGGCGTAGTGGTTATGCATTGGGCTGTTAACCACAAGATCAGCAGTTCAATACCACCAGCCTCTCCACTGGAGAAAGACAGAGCTTTCTACTCCTGTAAAGAGTACCAGTCTCAGAAACTCACAGGGACATAGCCCTGTCCTCTAAGTCAGCATCGACTGGATGGCAATGTGTTTGGTTTTAGAATATTTCATGTCAGTGAAGAATGTAGTAAACCATGAACGTGACAAATGAAGAGGGCTTTTATTTTACAGGCAGAAAGACAGACACACACACACCCTGATTTTATAGGTCCTGTGGATTTTGTAGTCTCTATTCCTACAAACATTCTTTGCCTGGGAGAGTGGCTACTTGACAGCCTGAAAAATTGAGTTGAAGTGCCCTAGGACATGGGAGGCAAAAACTGCTAGAAAGCCTTTGCGAGAGCTCCTCTGAGCCCCTACGCCAGGCGCCCTTTGGCAGTGTGTCCTGTCCAACTGCTGCTCAGCCCGAGTCCGCAGCTGCTTTGAATTAGATTCCTTCTGCCAAGTATTTCCTAATCAGCTCTGGAGGGAAAATGCTCCTAGATTGTGTGTTCTAAGGTCGGATTTGGGATTAATACTCAAGCTGAAGGTGGAGGCATACTTTCCCCCGCATGCTGTCTCACTCGGAGTCACTTGGAAGCGTATTTAATTAACTCATGCCTAGATAGCTGACATTTAATCGGCACGTTGCTTCTGCTGTACCTGACTCAGTGCAGGGTTCCCTGGTACAAATCATGGACCTCTGAGGAAACCCTTTCTTGGGGTGGTGGGGCATGAATTCAATACTCTCTCCTTTATAACACTAAGCTGTTTGCTTTTTCCGCTGTGTTAACTTTTGCACTGAGGGTAGAAAAATAATATGGGCAACACTGCAGGCAAGTGTGCATGAGTCGAGATAAGACACCAGACTGTATTTAGGAGTCGTCCTATTCTTCATCACCACGGCTCTGTTGAAGCAGAAACGTTCGCTTTATTTCATCCCAACCCTTGAGTGTCCATCCATCTTAATCTCTGCATTGTAAAAAGAGTCCCGTGAGACCATGCATGTGACTGAGAGAAGGACGACGGCAGGCTCGAGGAGGAGCACCCGTGACTGAGGTGTGACCTGAACTAGCCAAGCTGTTGTTGGTTTGTTGTTATTGTGCTTTTTGCAAATCATTTTTTTTCCTTGAGAATTTGTCATACAGTTTCTCTAAAATGAACAAATGGAGTTTACCACTAATGGAAAACACTGACAGCATTCGTTGCCAGTGATGAAATTCTAATTTTTAAGCGAAAATTCGAGTTCTGGAAAACTTGAATCTGCCCCCTAAGCCTGACAGCTTTCCAGTGTTTGAAGACTTCCTGCAGGATCAGTGGCGATAGTGACAGATGCAACTTTTTGACCATTTATATGATGGCATGTTTTTAGCATTTAAACTTAGGGAGCAAACACTTTGCAAAGGACCAGTACTTACTGTTGCATGAGTGAACAATGTCCTTTCAAGATACAAGTGAGACCAGTGGATTTTTAATGTCGTGGATAGAAAAACATTGATAAGGTTTCAGATTCCACGTTGCACCTGACCTTTAAGAAATCACTACTTAAAAATAATAATAATAATAATAATAAATAAAAAGAAACCACTACTTGATGAATTTGGGTTAGAATGTTACCCACAATTATCTTTTAAGACTAGTAAAACATTTTCTTTGCCAACTACATACCTGTGTGAGGCCACGTTTTCTTCATATACTTAACCTGTACAAGGGGCTTCAAAATGCTTGCGGGCAATGAAATGAAAGATAATGACATTTTCCCACAAACTCTTTGAAGCCTCTCATAGCACACCACAAAATGCAGAAACAGATAAGAGAATTCAACTATATTAAGCTAAACATGAGAGTTGCCAGAAAATAGAAAACTGTATGACTATTTTCATTATTTTAAAATATTATTTAATATTTAAACAACTTATATTAACTTGTTATGAGTTTATTATTTTAAGAGATCTCAATAATTTTAGCAGTACAAAAGTGTTCCCAGATCGAAAAGTTGGCAAACGCCTGTCTCAGTGCTGGCTACGCACTGGAATTTTTTGGAGAGCTTTTAACCTAATGATACCTGGGCCCCACCCTAAACCAATTAAATCTGAATTTTTGAGGGTGTGAACCAGACAGTAGTTTTTCAGAGCTCTGCACCTGGTGACTCTAGTGTACAGACAGGGTTGGGAACTGCAGTAATTAACTTGACTGAACCAGTTGACAGACAGAAGAAACATGCCTTCTCTTCGTGAGCTACGCTTGGTCCTGCATTATCTGAACCAACCTTGGCTCCTTGAACAATTGTATTCTAAGAAGCATCTTGTATGTCTTCTTATTAAGAATATTGTTAAAAGAGTGAAAGAAGGAACCAGCAAATTTGGGGATGGGGGCTATACACACACGCATACACAGCCTATGATGAAGTTCAGAACCAACCATTTCAATTTACTTCTCTTTTTGGTATACATTCCCCCAAAAGTTTTTTAAAATCCTGTCTGGAAACATGGTCTCTGAAGTGATTTCTGATAAATGAGATCCTTTGTTGGCTCTGTGCTACTAATCTATGTAGAACTTCAACCTGGCTCTTCCCAAACTTTTCAGACTGGCGTCATTTTAAAAATAATTAATAGACTGTTTACAGAAGGATAGTATGTAGAGTACCATGTATCTTCCCTAGTACAGTTTCTTTCATTAGTATGATAGAATCGTTGCAATTAATGAACTAATATTGAT